CAACGTTGGCTACCTAGTATTCACACTGGGTGAACCAAACAAAACAGCCAAACCAACACTTGAACATTTTGTATAAACTCATTTACTAAACTGCCCCCAGAAATGATTTTTGTTGGCCTCGGAAAGGGGTCTCCCCACAAATGGCTTACATCCTTCAAGATAAGCTACAATGAGGAAATGTCACCCCGTGTTCTATGTAACGGCTGTGTGTGATTCTGTCGTTACGGTAATGATACAGTATTGGCTGCCCTTCTTACAGTACAGCACTTGTCGTCCAAAGTTGGCTACCTAGTATTCACACTGGGTGAACCAAAACAGCCAAACCAACACTTGAACATTTTGTATAACATCTTTTATTAAACTTCCACCAGAAATGACATTTTTTGGCCTCGGAAAGGGGTCCCCACACAAATGGCTTCCATCCTTCAAGATACAGTACAGTGAGCTGCACTGAGGTAGAGAAATGTCACAGGTATAATACCTGTTCTCCTCCTTTTTGAAGGGAGGGAGGATGTGTGGACCAAGGGAAGCAAGCCTAACATAAAACTTGCTTGGACAGAGGGGCCTGAGACTAACATAGAATTCTCCATCTTGGAGGAGACATTTTGGACTCCTGTTCTAGGTTAGGCTACTTGGGGGCTTGGCCGCGTTCCGTGTTAATATACTTTGTTTTTTGGTTTTTGAGCTATGTTATTTTGCTAAAGTTTACCCCTTTTTGCTAGTGTCACTGGGGAGTTTCTGAAGGTTGCATATCGTGTTGCATCTTGCGGCTCTTGCAAAACGCTTGGACCCTGCTGAGAGGGGCCCTGGGTTGGAGGCGTTCAGCATGCGGTTTGCGGAGCACGAATCCTCCAGGTTGAACGACCAAAACGAAAAGCTTTGCGCACAGGAGGGGACGTCCTGATCAATCTTGCTTTGGATGTCCAGGAGGTTGTGGAGAGCATCAACATTTGTTGGAGAACCACGAACCAGCCAATATGATGTAAGTGAAGTGTGCAATCTGATCTAATTACTGGTGGTGGCCTGCTGGTGCTCCCCAAGTGAACTATGTAATTGATCAGTAAGAAAGAAACAACTTCCCAGACTTTCTCCCTACCTTCAAGTGGAACATGGAAATTCCAATCAAGCAAAATTGATACAGCAGCTGACTATCCATATCCTATGCATTGTATATTTACATACTGTAATACAAGTTGTGATACACTATATATATATATGCACATACTCCATTATACTCAAAATTAAAACACACACTCTACATATATCTATATATCAACCATTTTACCTTGTCCTTCTAAGTCGATGTCCGAAGCCATTGACCCTCCACGCGGCCCTTCCTTCCTCCCCCGGGAGCCCAGGTCCGAACCTTCGACCCTCCACCGGCAAGCGGAAGCCGCCCGGGGCGCAGCCGGATGGTCAGCCGCGAAGAGAAGGGGTGAAGCCGGTCTAACACGAGAATGGTGTGAAGAGAATGGTGGACTTGGAGATCTTGTTTTACTTAACTTGGCATCCATCAACAGCCAAGTTCGGCACAATTTGGGCAGACATTTGGAAGAAGTTGTCTCAGTTTGACATAGTTTGACCACAACACCTGTTTATTTTGTGCTTTATCTTGGGGAGACCTTGCGGAGCGGTCAGTTTGGTGAGTTGTTTCAGTGAAACGTGTTGGTGACCATTCTACATTCTACATCCACGACCATGGATATTGGATATCCGTGGCATGGGCTTGTTTGGAGTGAATTGCGGAAGCGTTAAAGGTACATTCCCCAGTCTCCGGCATTGGCGTTGTTGCTCCCTCTGGCCATCGAAATAGAATATTACTCGGGGAAATCACCCCAACTCTTCCAGCGACGGAAAAGCAAAGAAACACACACCGGGGCTCGGTGTTTCGGGGAAGATCCTGGTTTCACTGACTCAGGGTGTTTTGGTTTGAACCGCGCAGCCACGAAGCACGTGAGGTTTGGTGCAGTGCACTGCTGTCTGGCCAACAGGACTGCATCAGTTGGTGCTCACAGCAGAGGTTGGTTTTGCAGGTCTCTAAGGTCTCAAATCATACGTTTGGGCTTCCTGAGCCTGACCGTCGTTCAGTGGTTCCTCTCTTCCTTTCTTTGGGATCTCTTTGGGGTCTCAGTAGCCCGGCTGTAGAAGAAATCAAGTTTGCGATGTCCAAGGGGTGTTTGATGACGTGTCGTTTGCGATTCCCCCCTTTGGGTTGCATATGATGCTTGCATCATCTTGCATCCCTGCGCGGTCAGCGTTTGGCCGGCAGGTGCTGCCGGCCGAACATGCGGCCGAGCACCCAGCGAGCTGAGCTGCGATTTGCCCATTCGGCCAGAGTGGAGCGGCATTGCAGCATGCTCTCGCATTCTTGAAGCATGTCGGGTGGGTTACAGTACTGCATGGGCCGCATGGGCTGCCGATTCCTTTCCAAAAGAACCCTTTTCAAATTCTTCAGAGTCCGACCATTGCATGGTAAACCAAGCATCTTCTATTCTGAGAGGTGTGGCACAAAGAAAGCCCCAAGAACAAGGCCGTGCTGGCTTTCAAGTGTCTTCCACAACCTTAAGAGGTTTCATTTTGCACCCGCATTTGATTTGGAGAGGGTTCCACCCTTGACACCCAGCATATGATCCACGATCCCGAAAGATAGATGAAGACACCGTCTTTCAGAGCCTCCCTCAGACATGGAGACTCACCGAACCACCAAGGCCACCCCAGGGCCACCGAACCACGGCCACTCCAGCACCGCCCAAGGCCTATGCGCTGGAGGGCTTAGCGGAGCAGTTCGGGATGAAGTTGGAGCTTGAGGTCCCTCCGCGAAGCCTTGCGATGAGAGGTCAGAGGGTTGGATGGATTGAGTTAGATAGAAACAGAGCAGCTTCATCCGGTAGATTGGACGGAATTGGACGGAATTCTTGCAACAGCTACTTAAATTGGACACATTCCACCGCAGATGCTCAAATGTCAGTTAGAGTTAGAGTTATGATTTTTTTTCTAGACGTGCCACCACGTCATCAGGAATGGAAAAGGGCCCAGTGTTATAGCAGTGGGCCACACTCGTACCTATCACTATATGCAAGCACCCACCTTGAGGTCTCCCACACACAGACAATCGGACTGTTTAGTTTCATGATTCAGCTCGGTGGGACGATGCTTCTGTGATATGTTTGATGTATACTTGCGTGCCGCTGCACAGCGAATTCAATTCACAGGATCTCAGACCATGAGCCGTTCACGGCGTTTTTCGAGCCAAATGCATGGAAACAAGACAACAACAGCTGAGCGAGCAAGCCAACAAGAAATCTACAGGGCCGACGCCCGGCACTGTCCGACCCAGCGAACGATGCTTCAACATCTGCCATCATATGGCAAGCCATGACCAGCTCCATCACGAGAGTCTCCCTAGTCATTCCCCATGGGTCACATCAGGCGTACATGTCCTCCAACATCCTCCAACCATCTCCAACCAACCCATCATGGGGTTGTGAAACTGAAAGTGGGTCGGGACAGTAGAGAAGCTGGCGGTTCTCCAAGCCATAAACCAACAGTTTTGGTATGGAACCCTTTGAGGGCACACCCGCGGCACCCTGCAGACTAAGCGTTGGTGTGGGAAAGGCGAGCCTTCATTTTTCAAGAGGTTTGACAACGACGTTGTTTTCTGCGCATTTGACTTCAAGATTCTCATCCTCGGTCCTCCGCGCGTAAAAACCACTTAAGATTCTGCAAGGTGGTGTGAAACAGGTGACAATACCGCAACCTTCCGTCACATTCAGCTGTAGCCATCCGCTGCGCTGCGTGCTGCCATGGTGGAGGCGGTCCGGGTGTCGCATGACCGAATCCGGCCCCACAGGTTAGGCCAATGTCCGAGTGTTGAGACCAGATGTTCTTGTGCATGGGCAACGCAAATTATCTAAAAACATGAAATCATGATGAAAGGAATGTTTGTCTCCAATAGTTTGTGCTTTGTTCCTTCCAACTTCACTTGCCTTCGTACGGGTAATGCTGAGCCCCTTGCTGACACACGTATTTTCTCTCCAGCATACATGGAGCTTGTTGAGGAACAGTGCTTTCCAAGAGTTCCACCAGACATCACCAGACCTAACAGCTAACAGCTTGGGAAAGAGATCCTGGACTCCAGGACCAGAATGCTGAAGAGCCAAGTTCCTCTCAAGTTCAGGGGTGCGCTCCTCCACAGGATTATCAGGATTTCCCTTTGTAGCTACCCCAATTCTAGCAGTCACGGTGGCTCTCGCAATGGTTGAATGTGTTTGCCTGTGTGTGTCTCTCTCTCTCTTTTTTGGTTCTGATATGGACGCGCTCAATGAAGCACCCCGATGGATCTCCAGACCTTCCGCCAGATCCACATCCCCAAGTTGGGCATCCATGGTCGCTTGGAGCCTGGAGCCCGGGTCGATGGCTTGGACGAAGACGGGCTGCCGGAGGATCTTCAGCTACTCAAGGCCTTGGAGGCGCTTTGGACGTGGTGATGGGGTTTTCGGATGGCGAAGAGTTGGGTGAGTTGAAGAGATTGGAGGATGCATGGATTCATAGATGCATAGAATCATAGAATCCATGCCTTAGATGTTTTCGAAACCAACCTACCATAATCTACCAATCCTAGCTGCAGATATACTGCATTTTTTATGGCATGTTGATGCGTTTTGCAAAGAATCATTTGCATTCCGGGCCGGACCGGACCTGTTCTGCCTCGTCATACTCGGGAGTAATTGGAATTGGGATCTTGATGATCTTGATGGGTTCCAGCAAGCAAACCAGGATTCAGGAGACTTTGAGCTGGTGATTTGTTGTAATTGTAATGTAGACGAATGATTAATGAAGCGAATGGTCTTACATCTCCTGGCCTGAGGATGGTTTCTTGATCAACGGCCTAATTACATGAGTCAGTCTACATGATTCTGGGAAGTTCTCATATCGCCGCCGCTCCTTTTTGATGTATGCGTGCTCCAAGGCTCAGGAGAAGAAGGCCGTGGAAAAACTGGAGGACATCTATCGGTTGAAGTCCACATGAGGGAAGAAACTAGAACATGTATATGCTCCCTGGAATGAACAATCATGAAAGTGGGACACCACGCGTTTGTAGAGGAAAATGGTCATCTAGGGGGCCATGTTCTACTTCAACAATGATTCCAGCGGGAGTGCAAACACCTCCTTTAAGCCATGCGAAAGGCAACAGATGAAGCTGGCATCATCTGGCATCCATACGATAATATAGTCGATTGAAGACAAGGCCTTGCAAGCCTATTGTCAGTGGAAAAGAATCCTGCGATGTAGGATATAATCATGTCAACAATGAGATACGGTCCATTTCAGGTGGTGTTTGCCGATCTTCCATGGATTTCTCTCGGTTTCAACCGTTCTGATCCGTTCTGGGCCCTCAGTTTGTGCGGGGCAGGAAGTTTTGGAGGCACTCCGCAGCCGAACAAGGACTCCAATCGGCAGCTGGACGGTTTCCTCGCCGAGGAGGAGGACGCAGACTTCCGGGAAGCCATTGAGGCCGGGGCGAGGCTTTCTGCATCGAAAGCACCGAAGGAAAGGTCAGCCGTCGGTTTGGAGGCATGCTGGTGGGTTTGAAGGTCTTTGAAGGTTGAAGGAGTTCTTGCCATGGTGGGTTTCGGGTTTCGGCCGGGGACTAGGGACTAGTCTTCCATGTGTCTAGTGGAGTCTACTTTCGTGCTTGTAGTACTAGCCCAAAAGCAGGAAACTGCTATCGAACACAGAATGTTGCAAGAAAGCCTTCAATCATGTTCACTCAAATGTACTCAAATACAATGACCGGTGCCAGAGAGAAGAACATCAGGGTAGAACTTGGCCACGGCGGAGTGCGCTTAACTACCCCTATGTCAAAATCAGGGTTTGGGTAGATTTGGGAAGGTCTGGGTGGTGCGTGGCGGGGTGCGTTCTACCGTAGAACCAACCAAACTCCGAAACATGTTGCTCTATTGCTGGAACCTTCTTCCGACGCCAGCGAAACGAACACGGCCCGCCTCCACCGGGCGTCCGGCCCCCGGACGCCGGCTTCGGCGGCGGCGGCGTTGTTCCGGTGCACGTCCTTCTGAGTCCCGTCATGGCCAGGAGAACCTCACCGTCATCGAGCGAAAGCTGCTGAGACTGGAGAAGATCGCCGTTCCTTGGCACGTCCGGCGCGTGAAGCGCACGTGGCGGTGGGAAGCGCCTGTTTCAGGTGCGGTGCCGGTGCAGGTGTTGGAGAAGGAGGAATCAGAATCGGAGATGGGATCAGTGAGGTCATGTGAGGTCCTATTCTATCGAAGAAGTCTAGTGAGTTCGTCACTCTCCTTGGAACATGTGTTGGACATCGTTTTGTACTTAGTTTTTCAATCTTGCCACTGGTGCTGAAGAGCTTCAAGCACACTATTTTTTGGGGGGGGGGGTTCCACTGGGCGTCAGGTGTAATATTCTTGCTGCTTGTAGTTTGCTAGGGCTCCAAGTATGTTCTTAGAAGGTGTTTGGGAGGGTTTGGAGGGTCCAAATACCATTTGAGGAGGTACTTGGAGCCCTAGGGTTTTGTACCAGCTGCAGTGGCTTTGAGCAAATGGCGCATCCCCCCAGGCTGGTGAATTCCCACGGGTAACGTGAACAGGGGCCCTCGGAATCTACAGTGTTTTTGTAGAGAACTGACGGTGGGGAGTACCAGCAGTAGTTTTTGAGCCTGGTGGGGCCTGGCAAAATTGAGAAGCCCAGCGAATAGGTTTTGGTTGCACAAGGAGTTTGGCTGGAAGTAGGCCCGCATTTTCACCTGTAGCTATACACTTTGGAGGACAAGCCAGCACAGCATCGCTTGTTCATACTTGTTCTATTGTTTGGTGCGGCGTTACGCGCGTTGCAGGCATAATTTGCGAATGGAAGTGCAGCGACACGTACAGTGCAACTTGTACATATACATGTACCATATGTACTTTGGCTCAAGGATCAAGCGACTAGAAAAGGTGCGGTTTCCGTTCCGACGCTACGCCGCTTATGGACCGTCAGTGATAGCTTCAAACTTCGCTGATTAAGATCCACGCGCATAATTATACATATAATATCTACTTTTGCTTTGCGTAAGTAGGTGGATCCATCGACCGGGTGTTGATTCTGCCGAGGTTAAAATTTTGGAATTGACGCCTCCACAGCCAGAGGTGAGGATGTTTGTGGCGGAAACGGCAGCTGAAACGATTTCATAAGCTCAGGACTCCAGAAATAAAAACGAGTTTCCCCTGCAGACACAACCAAATTGTCTTGGGCGTATAGGGAGTCCAAGCTATACCACTTCAATTCAAGAGGCTGAGACACTGATCTCAGAGGTGCTGCCCAGTGTTAGTTTGAAAGCTGTATCGATAAAGTAAGATGCATCCGAAAAGCTATTTGACGGGTGAAACCTCATCAAGTCCCCAAGGCCCTCAGTGAAAATGCAGTAGACTTGCTATGACGTGGTTTTTTGAGCCCCCATACGTCTTATACTAGTCCTTATGCTATCTTATTTATGCGGTTTGTTCATACTCATGAGTCATGATCATGATCATCCGCTGTTTACTGGATGTGGGATAGTCAATCCGTAAATCGAACAAATCAAAGAAGAGCAAATCCGTAGATTTGCGTGTGTCCATTTCTTGGGGAGAATGCCTTCTCGAATCGATGCAGACCGTCCCTGCTCCCAACTCGCGAGCTGTTAAGCCTCACATGGAAGTCGAAACATGTCACTGGGCAGACTGACTTTGGATGACTAGTGTCCTGTACCAACAGGGTGGTTTCACGCCACTTCCATGGAATGTGACTAGTGTCCCGTACCATCCTTGGACCCAGGATGCAGAGGAGCTTAGATATATTCATTGATTTGGTCCCATGCGAATGGACGAACCCCCTCATCCCAACATGTTTGATCCGCCTTGAAATCGTTGACTTGCCCACGCCTCAACCTGTGCAGGCAGCTTCTGGTTATGTGGCACCAGCGGTTCCAACCCCCACGGCAGAGGTGCTGTCGGTGCTGTTTGTGTGGGGTTTTCCAGGTCCCAGCGGTTGAACGGCTAAGGCACAGCACAGCAAGATATAGCAAGGGTTGAACCACAGCATAGTCGTTTGTCGTTGGTTGTAGAACTGCCCTGCAGTTGGAATCTACGCCACCTGGTAGGACAGCCGTATTGAAGGCATGAAATCTTTGAAGATCTATCATATTCAGAATGGCTATGAAAATTTCTTGAAAGGCATGGTTGCAGGAGAAGCGTCTTCCCGAGCCCATGTCCGAGTCAGAATCTACTGCTGTAGACGATCGAATCGTGGCCCACGCTGCAGGCTCCCCCGCCTGCTGGCCTGGACTTATGAGCCGATCTCGCCCCAAGGAAAAAATAACATGTGGCACTGGAGCTGGCGGCTGATCAGGTGAGTGGTGTACTTGATGTTGAAGTTGGGGAACTAAAAAATACTCTAAACAATCCAAAAAACATCAAAAAACATTGAATTTTGTAGAGGAAAATGGCTACACATGGCATAACAGTGATGGAACACCATAAGCAACACATACAAATTTGAAACAAATTCGGTTTATGTATATAAATGTTTGATGTCCTTGCATAAGATGTAAAGGTATGTCAATCTGATGAATGTACTCGCCAAGAGCCAGTCAGCCATTTCATTTTCGAGTCGTTCAATGGGTCAGATCTTGTTGGAGGTCGGGCATGGGCACATGGGAACTCACTCTTCTCACGCACATTTGAGTGGCGTTTTGAGGTTTCCCTCACTCCTCTCCCAGGACCCAAACCGGTGCGGACCCCGCTGACCCCCCCCCAAACGCACCGTTTCCAGGTGCTGTCACCAGGAGAGTTCAGGAGGACCCATGTCGCCAGAAGAACTCACTTGGGAGCCGATTTCGCTGGCGCATCCGCAGGGCGTCCACTTGGAGGCCGTGAAGCGTCGCGCCTACTCTTTCGCTGGGGGTCCTGGAGGCATGTTCAACGAACGTAGATCCTTCATGGCACGAGGGTTTTCTCCCCAAAATGACACGCAATCAGGCATCAAATAGCCACGATCAATTGGATAATGATTTACTCTGCAAATAGCGCGTGCCCTAGAAGAAGACTGCCCCTGTCATGTCGAGCTGCTAAACCCAACATCGCCTTGCAAGACACCATCGGTGCAGAACCTTCGTGGGTCATAGGTCATTTAGGGCAAATCGCAGTCTATTGACAGGCGTATGCCAAGTTTGTGACCGTTAGTGGTGTTGGTACGAGCAAAGGTTCAGTTCAGAAGCAGTATACATAAAAATGCCAGTGTGCTTGGCATTCTGGGTGTGAAACATGTGAGTTTCGACTTGCCAGACGACGCAAGGCAAGTTTTTGCTCACTTCCTCCGATTGACCGTTCCACCGTTCCACCTGTCAACTGAAGCCACCATCCATCACCATCCCCCCGTCCGCGCTCCAAGGCGGGTGGCAACGATGGCCTCAACTTGGATCAGTTCGAACAGCTGTGCTAGGACACCTCAGATTCAAGCGTCGGATTGGCCGGGCTGGTGCTATGGGGATCTGGCTTCGAATCGGCCTCGATCGGATGTTCCAGGGGAGCCACAAGCTTGGCTGGGGATCAACATCTACCAGCATCCAAAGGATGCTTATTGTTGGATATGATATGCCTCACAAGGCACCTAAACCAGCATCCAGTCTGCCGGAAGTCAACCTTGGTGTGTTGCTATATGCCTTGGTCAGGTCGCGAGATGATGGCGGAGCTCTATGGGAAGTTGGGGCAAAACTGAGGCCAAGAGGGCCATGGTTCCACTTCGTCTAAGCTGCGGCAGATTGACATGGAGACCTCCATGACATAGTTGGAAGAAGTTAAATGACTGAACTACACAGATGAATCAGATGAATATTATTCCATCTTATGAATCGTATGCATTCTTTCTTCCCTAGATCATGGCTGCTTCGCTCTTCAGTAGAGTTCCCACGGGGCAAACCTGGGAAGACAAACGTTCAATTGCCATAGAACATGGAGGTGAATGCACAGCAACACAACATAGATTTAATATCACTCGGATTTGAGATGAAATTCCCAAGCCCTGGACCACCTGTCAACAGAAGCAGCAACACTAGATAAACATGGAGCAAGCGTGCTGTTTGGAACACCCCTGCAGAGCCGCTCGACCGAAAAATTGCTGCATCGGTGGCACATGGTCGTGCAGTGTCAGTGTGTATTAAGGCAAACATTCTAGCAAAGTCCAGACTGAATTGTCAACAACTGACGTCTTGCACATTTCCGCAGTCCCAAAAGCTGGAAGAGCAAACACCTGTTATAGTGTCTAAACAGCCTATTTACAAGAGCCAACTATGCCCCTCCTCCTTTGGGCTCCAAAATGGCATACTTAATGACTATAGTGAAATTCTAGTTATATAGTTGTCAGGACTGGCAACAAGATACCGTCGCTCCATGTTTTCTCGATTGCTTCGGAGCACACCCATTTCTTATACTGTTTCTTTGTTAAGTCGGATTACTCACCATTTAGGCCCAGACTTTGGCATTTGACCTTGTTGCGCTTTGCAATGCTTGGCATCACAATGCTCCGATTTGTGTCCACTGACGAAAACTGGAGCCGCAACTCCTTGCATGCCGATTCGATACCTTTGAGGCTCCAGGACACTGGGATAGTTCTGGACAAGACACACACCTGCACGGAAGAAACTTATGAACAATTGTAAGAGAGCTCTTCATTGCATTTGATCCTGATATTTCCCCTCGACGCATCCATCTACGCGAAGTTATGTTTGATCCCATGCTGCTGTGCAGCTACTGTAGGTTCTATGTGCCAAAAGCTTCCTAACTTCCTGAGACGTGTTTTCCAAGAGCAAGGATTGGAGGATACAGAGGTTCCCTCGAACACTGTTTTCCAAGCTCGAATCACACCAGGCAGCAGTGTCCTTCTGGAACAGCAAAACCACCCACAACGACCTTGTCACCCTCCAGGTGTAAGGTCCATCACCAAATCACAGCAGTCAGTGCCACCAGTGGCTCGCCGACAGTGACACGACAGCTGAGTCTCTTCCTCAAGGGCTACAACACGTCGCCATGGGTTGTTGTGCCTCCGTGGCCGGGGATGTTCAGGAGCTTCACACACCGGACCGCCGGACCCACCCGCCGTTCCGGTCCCGGACGTCGGTGAAGCCGAGAATCGGCCGAAGTGCAGCTGCCAAGGGTTGTTGGAAGTCCAACATAGCGCGGACTGCCGATGTTGCAGCCCATGGTTAACTCCTGTGACGTGCTTTTTGCGGTTTGTTTGGAAGTTACACGAAATTGTCCAAACACGCTGAGATCTTAACACTAATGTAATGTTTTGTTTTGTTTAAGATGTTTTAAGTCACGACGTGATGTGCTATGCATATTTTTCCGAGTTTCCGATGTTGAAGCCCCTTGTTGTGCCCATTCCATCGCAGTCCCTCGTATCATTGTTGCCTTTGATAAGGTACTGGTTACCAATTGCCCTTTGGGGGCAGTTAGACATTAGTGGCTGAAGCTTCAAAGTCCAACTCATGCACACTTCCTTCAATCAAACATGCACATGAAACATTACTTTTTGGAAACTAAGTCAGCTAAGTAGGGATTTGGGGGGGGTCTATGGTCATTTGCAAGCCTTTGCTGCAAGCCTCTCAACAGCCCTACATCGAGGCTTCCGGGGTTCGGACTGTACCGTGCCCGGGTGCCTGCACTACCTGCCCTCCTGCCCTCGGCATTTGTCAGGACCCAACCACACCTGTCCATCTCAAGCAGCGCCTGGGGCAGAACTGGATGGCTGCCAGGAAGGTCTCCCAACACAAATCTATCCGCCAGAACTTCCTCCTACACTTGATGCAAGAAGAACTATAATACCTCACCACAGCATATCGCACTATCAACAGCATTTTGTGTATCACAGAACTTGGAAGCGCTGGGGGTGAAGGATGACCAGTTTTGCACAGGTGGGAGAGGAGGTAGCCAACTGGTGTTTTCTTTTTGGCATGCCATCCAGGGGGGCTTGACACCATGTCCTCCACTGTGCCAGTCAGAGAATCACTGCATGGTTTTACAGGGTGGGGCCAAATGCAATAGTGTAATGAGGCATGTTGAAACTATGTCAGGTTGAATCCAAAGATATGTTCCTTGAGAAAAGGAGTCCATCCTAGTCTTACAATATCTACAATCCACAAGAAAAGCAAGTGTTCAAGAGACGGGTCTTTCTCCCTATGGCTTACCAGTGTCCACTCGCCGCTAAAGGCTAGCTGGTGCGAGCCGTTTCGGCAGCTCCAAGGGTTGGCAAGACGCCCCCGTAGTCGTGGGATATGACTTGGCCAGCTTTGGAACCAGTCCTCAACATTGTCTTCGGGGGCGGTCTCCGTGTTCCTTCAAATGCCAACAGAGGTTGAATGACCCTATAGACTATCCCATAGGTACCTCAGTAGGGCCCTATAAGGTCGCTTAACCTCTCTTGGTAGAGAGACTCGACCACTGGTCAGCGGACCCGAGTTGCGAGCCCGTCTGGCCGATCCACTCGGCCACTTCAGGGCGGTGTTGGTGACGGAAGACTTCAACACCTTGGTGCACAACCGTTTGAGGACCCGGAAATCGCTGAATCAAGTGCAGTCTAACTAGTTGAGAGTGAGGTTTGGGTGGTTTTGGGCTTAGACTCGTCCGTCATGGGGACAATCCAAGGGTCCAAGGCGTCATGCCATCCACTCACTTCCAAGATCATTTCAGGGTGTGTTTCTGGGGGAACTCGGCACTGCAATCTGCAAACTGCAGAGAACTGATCGTGTGACTAAGACCTGAGCAGCGCAAAGAAGATGCGGTGGCTCATAGCTGTCCAGTGGGCATTGCTCACACGTTTTAAAGGATTGTCGAGCGGGTGGTAGGCCTTATAGCTCAGCTGGGGTGTGGTATCACCATGTACGACCCCAAGCAACATAGAACACCCAATGACCATCAAGGGTCAGAAGCATGGGTTTGGCAGTAGGCTACTCGGTAGACTTTTGGAGGTCCACTCTTCGGGGGATGGTTTTTAGGATTGGCACCCTTTGCTGGAATGAAGCTGAATGAAGAGTGTGGGGCGATATTTGGGCCTGGACATGGCACACATGAACCAAGCCTTCTCCCTCAGCCGAAATCGTCGCCACTCAGCCAGTGGAACCGACCGACACTGAGAACAACGCAGCAAATGCACAATGCTACCGCACCTGACAGCCGTCCGCAGGTGACACTGCACCTCTGTTTCGAGCGTTCGGTCCGGGTCCGTCGGTCCGGGTCCATCTGCAGGAAGCTGAACGAGCTGGATGCCACCACCAAGGTGCCCTTCATTCTGATCGAACTCACAGGCGCGGAGCT